CCCGCAAACGGTCTCTCAATAACTTATCCTCTCCCCTAGCGCTAACGACGCAGCCCAGTCTATCACAAATGCCAGCTTTGTTCAAGTGGGTAACCAACCAGTCATAACAACATCTGATTCACGAAAAATAGGTGTACTTGGATTTCCTGACGCGTCTTCGCACAATCTACCCGCATCAGCCTATTTTCGTGTTTACCCCCGTCAGTCTAAATTTATCACTTACCTCTCAACGCTCTCACACCCCCGGTCTTGGCAGTGGGGTTGGCCGAACGCCGATGGTAGCATTGGGCAGTACTTCCAAGGCCAATACCAAATAATTGTCAATGAGCGGTCAGTATATTGTATTGGTGGCTTACCTATATGCTGCGCTGATAACAAGGTCTCAGAGTCGCATCCGGAGACAAGAATATATTTTTGGTGGACACGACTGGCTGGGTCACATTCGCGGATGTCTTCCCTGACAATCAACACCCCAATGTGCCAGGCCACGCCAAGATTGCCGGGAAGTTTGAAGCTTGGCTTGAAGACTGGGGTTTGACGCCAGAGACCCGCTGGGCCACCCCGATCTAATTAAAAATACATTGTTCCAAGCTTATACGACCCCAACCTCTTCCCCGACTTGGCACGCAACGAAAATCATGTCAGTGTAAAATAGGATAATTAAATCCCGAGTATGACGTTGGGTCCTGGTCATCTCCCATCTCGAACGATCCACCCATGAGATTGAAAGCACTTGGCCAATCGGCTATTTGATGACCAGTATTTATAACTATTATTTGTGGAAGCCAATGAGCAAGCGGATCGCAGTTGGCAAGTGCTGGGGAAGCACTTAGCAGAACCTCATCGAGCTCAAGTATCATCATCACCACTAGCAACACAATTTTTGGTGGGTCTAGTAAGTACACGTCATATTGAACCCGCTGAGGAAACCTCCCCGGGGAGTGGGTGGGCGACACGGCGTGGTTACCACCGACCCCCCCCCCCAACAACAAACCACGGGTTGGTCAGGGATGGATAGGACAGCCGGAAATAATCCTGGCGAATCACAGGCTGCATGACATCGCCGGGCGCTGCAGGTGTGTTCGGATCTTTTCTGATTCATCCCGAATTGGGGGCTGAGCGCTGAAATTGATATTGAAAACGAATAAAAAGCTTCAGGTTAGCGATAGCATAAAATGGTTTCTGGAACTAGCCTATTCTACGACAGATAAGGAGCAGGGTTGTGGCAGCAGAACAGGCTAAAGCGCGCGCCCAGACGTCAGGATAACATCTGACCTTGTGGTGGGCTCGTTCATAAAGGAACTTTTGACAGCCCCGATCGCGTTTTGGTCGGCCGCTCAGACTGCAGGCAAATAACGATTTCAAATTTCAATAGGACTCGTGGTGAAATCCAACTCCACTCATACGCCGCCTATCACGAGTGCGCGGTCACTGCGGCTATATCACCAGGGCTTGTTCCTGCCTCAAATGTTTCAGCATTAGGGGATGGCAAAGCATGATGCGCCCGTTATTTCCCCAGAGTTCAGGCCCCCCAGGTTGAAGAACGTCGGCGCTGTAGTGTCTAAAAATAACCTCTGCTAATCCGGATTCCGGAACCTGTTAGCGCCAGCCTCCAGGGAGGTACTAAGTACAACCATCGAGGTTCGGCCCTCTTTGGTGTGGGTAAAATTATCGTCCATCCATGTCTTCTCAAATTTGACCCAGATCATTTTATTGTCTATCAAGGTACTTCCCGGGAGATTTGGGAACGAGGGTTAGATTATTTGAGGAGTCCCATCACGAGGGAGGGAGCTTGGAGTTCACAGTTCGCCAGACAACACCTTCGAACCCTGGGCGCGGCCCTGAAATATTAATGACGCTCGGGTGCTGGGCCAGAACAGTGGGACGTGAAAAATCAGCTACGGCGAATATACAGCTGAACATTCATCTATTTTTGGATGTTCCCAATATTGCTGCTGGGCTGGCTTCCTCATTGTCGAATGCTGCTGCCCACTCCAGTCTCAACCGCTAAGCTAATACTCGGTATTTGGCGAAGCCAGTGGGGTGATCACGGGTGATCACTGATAGACGAGGAGCGCACTTGGGGCGATCACATCCCCATCCACCGCTCGAATGTCAGGGTCACAAAGATGCGACCAAGCATCACTCCGGATCCGGAGCTTTTCCCTGTTCGCATTGGAACAATACATCTTTTGGCCTGAAGTTGTTGCCCACGAGGTAGGCTACTGGACACGCGGAGCAACATTTCACTACGCACAAGCCACGAGAACGTTTGAAACGGAGTTGAAGGGTATTTGAAGGAAAAGCGTCATGAACGGACAAACTGTTTTTGGTAGGGTAGGGCCCTTTGCCAAGAGATTCAATCGATAGCCGAGATGTGCCAAGAATATCCATTTTCGACTTGGACGCTTTGGAGGCCTCTGGTACTTAAAGCATGGCCGTTGAATGCCAATTAGCCAACGGCCTTTTCAGTGCCCATTTTTTCCCCCACTTGAGAGTGCTGCTTTGAACCGGGATCATGTCGCTCTTTAAACCCGAGAAAAATTCATTGGATGATGTGGACGAACCGTGACACCAGACTCGTTGGTGAAAGCGGGTCCAACTTTCGACCGGTATTCGACGCAACGACTCTTGCGCAAGATGGACTGGAATGTGGTACCGTTCTTGGCGCTTTTATATCTGTGCGGTTATTTTATTTTATCATGGAGTGGTCTCTAATCATGGTATTAACAGGCTCTCATTCCTTGACCGCTCGAACATTGGTAACGCACGTTTGTCGGGCTTGGAAACCGACTTAAAATGAAGGGATTGGACTACAACGTATGACTGCGGCTCATGGCTCCTTCTCAGTGTATCTAATTCATACTTGGTGCACAGGTCGCGCTCGCTGTCTTCTTCCCTTGGTACGTGCTGGCGGAGATCCCCAGCAATATCATGATGAAGCGGACAAGCCCATCCCTCTGGCTTTGCATTATTATGGTCGCTTGGGGCGTTTGTAAGTTGCTTGCGCTATTCGTATGTCCTCCGGTTAACGTGGATTCGTTCGTCAGGTATGACCTTGATGGGTCTTGTGACCAACTTTGCTAGCCTCCTCGTCGTCCGTATGGCGCTTGGATTAGCGGAAGGCGGTTTGTTCCCTGGAGTCACATTCTACATTACCCTTTGGTACCGCAGACATGAATGCGGCTTCCGCATGGCCATTTTCTTCTCCGCTGCCACACTTGCTGGAGCGTTTGGCGGCCTGCTTGCCCGTTATATTTCAGAGATGAAGGGTGTCGGAGGCAGGCCTGGTTGGGCTTGGATTTTTATCCTCGAAGGACTGGTCACCATTGTGGTTGCTTTCTTCGCGAAATGGGTAATCAATGATAGCCCTGCAACGTACTTATCGACATTTTTCCTGATGCGACATGCTGACCTCCCTGTGAAATCTAGCGCCAAGTTTTTGACACCTGAGGAGCGCACTGAAGTTGTCGCCCGTCTCAAGGCAGACAGGACTTCTCTTGCTGACGAATATGATACCAAATATCTCTTCGACGCCCTCAAGGATTGGAAAATATGGGTTCACATGTTCATCACCATTGGTATGCTAATATACTATTGTTTCGGGTTGTGGTTAAAGCTAACGGCGCTCGACAGGCATCTACACTCCTCTATATTCGATCTCTCTGTTCTACCGACCATCGTTAAGAACATGGGCTACAGTAACAATGCGTCACAGCTTATGAGTGTGCCCCCTTATGTCTTAGGTTGCTTTGCGACTATCAGCGGTGGATATCTTGCCGACCGGTCTATGAAGCGCGGACCATACATGATTTTCTTCTGTGTCATCGCCATTATCGGATTTATCTTGTTGATTTCGACAAGTAACCCTCATGTGCAATACGCTGGAACATTCCTTGCTGTTTCTGGGTATGTAATTTGCTTATTGATTTACCAGTATCTGACGTTCAATTCACAGTATCTACCCTAATGTCCCTATGGGTGTCGCCTGGAATGGAAATAACATTGGTGGGACCACAAAGCGTGCTGTCGGTATCGCTATGCACGTCGGTATGATGACCGTATTTCTTACCCGTGCATAATTTGATTGCTCCTAGGTTTCGGCAACCTCGGAGGTGTTATTTCTGGATTCGCCTACAGGAAAACTGATGCCCCCAGATACTTCTCTGGCCATGGTCTCCTTATCGCTACCGTGACAATGAGCTGTTGTCTCAGCATCTTCATGACCATCTATCTTGCCCGAGAAAATGCACGCAGGGAAGAGGCGATGTGTGCGCAGGGTCTCACTTTGGATAAATATACCGAAGAGATGAAAGTATCTGAACGCACGAAGGGCGATAACGCAACTGTGAGTCAATATCGCTTTTTGCTCAGCCCGTGGATGGTGACACTAATTTATGCTCGTAGTTCTTCCGTTACACCATCTAAATGCCCATTCATGTTCTGATTTGAGTAGTGTCTATTCTTGCTACCTGTTGTCAGGACCCCGTGGATCGGACTGCCGTATCATACCCATAACCGACTCGTTTGAGTCGTTTCTTCACTCGTTGTACCTACCATATGTCTCTATTTAAATAACGGCAATATTAAACTATGGTTAGAGATGGTTATGTGTGATGCGTGTTATTTTATGCCATGCAGTGTTATTTATAAAGACTTGGATTTGGATCAGGTAAGAGTAGGATAGTTGATTTGCCAGCAATCGTATTTCACGGAGATGATTGGCTGTATTCAGAACGGCCCTGCATAATATAAAAAACTATAACCACCAGTGTCTCCACAATTAAATTCTGGAGGAGTGTCTGATCATCAAAGCTTTTGAGCCTGGAGTGGAATTTTGACTGATCACTTGCTGCCTATATCGGGGCGATTCGAGACAATCGCAGCAACAGTCAAAATAGGCAATCCAACCCACCTTGCAGGAAGGTCATCACAAAACATCATGATCACTTTGTATGTGATCACTCAGCGTTCACACGACACCTATCTTACAAAAAGTATACACTGAAGGGGAGTCGAACCCCTGCCGCTTGCTAACCCAGCCATAGGTTGCGGTGGAAGGCAAGCATGATAACCGCTTCACCATCAGTGTTCACATGCATGGAAACAGAACGTTAGTGTATCACAATTTCAATAGCGTTTTTCTTCGGGAGAGTCTATTCAATACATCTAATTTTTTCACACCAATGACTAGAGCGTGGTGTGCAAAATACGATTATTGTCTAAAAACACTTGAATATGAATACCTAGAGACCCAACTCATCAGCATGGGGTAGTGCTTGCACATCACCAAGCGCAACATAGGTGGGTTTGCCTTTCAGCAAACTCGATGCGGCCTAAGATGAGTAAACATGAGAATCAATGTCGGGTGTAAAAAGGAAGTGCAAATGACTGACTTGTGAAAAGCCTGTTGCGGTGATCGCATCTAATGATGATAGGGTGGATTCAAGCGAAACTTCAGAACCAGCCAGCAGCTGCGAGGAAGGATGAGCAAAATGGCGAAATTGAACGATGGATCGACAAACCTTGGAACCCAATGCAGCCGCCACGCCGTCGCGGCTGTCGATCGCACTGGCAGCAGCGAACTTGGCTTTTGCAACGGCTTTCTTCAAGTCATCAGCTTTCACGCCTCCGGGCGCGGTGAGGCCCTTGAGAGCCTGGACAGCAGCTTTTCCAGCTTCTTTCACGCCTGCGGCGGTTGATCCCTGAACAAGGAGGCCAACGAGAGTCGCATCGGAATAGGGCAGGTAGACCGATTGGACTGACGTTCCTTGAGGCAAGGACGTAGCGAGCGTAGAGATGCCTTGCGACCATTTGACGGAAGGTGCCGGTGAAAGATGGGCCGCAAGGGCCGCCAGTTCAGCAGAGGGTGCACCAGCAACACCGTAGCCGATAAAGACAGTCTGGGAGCCATTGTGGGCGTCCACCCGCGTTTCTCCACCAAAATATGTTGATGTGGGAGTACTGAAGGTCCCCACAGTAGAGAAGGCAGCTGCGGAGCCTAACGATTGTTCCACAAGTTTGGTCAGTGTTGATTGATTAATTCCCGTCCCCACAATAGCAGTATTCCCTTTTGTAAATGCGGACGCAGCAAAGGACTTGATATCGGCCACGGTAATTGAGTTGTGAGCGGGAGCAAAGAGCGAGGAACCAAGGCCTGAACGGAAAGCAAGGGCGTGTGCGAGCTCTATGGCGCGTGTCGCAGGATCCGAGGATGCTGCGTGGACATCGCCCTCATAAGAGGTGTAACGTATTCTTCATATTCATGGCGGGTGAATTTAGCAGAAGTTATGAAGGAGGTGAGAAGATCCACGAAAAAGGGCCTGGGAGATGTTGAATAATATCCGGTTGAGGAGCCAGAAACGAACTCACTCGTCACCACGGAGGAATTCTGCTGTCAATGCAAGGTGCTCTCGTGAAAGCGTTGCGGATAAAACACCTCCGTAAAGTTCACTTTCGCGAACCGTTCCGAGGGCAGACCGTTTTGCTGTGCTCTAACCCTCCAGTCAGCATCCTGCAGTACATTCAATTTCATGCTCGACTTGCCTTGAAAGCAAAGTTTTTCAGGGCATGAGCAACACCAGGTTTTGTTTCAAACCGGCTTCCAGCTTTGATGAGGAAGGTTACGGCCGCAGTGGGCTGGTTGTTGTCAATGGCAGCAACCTTGAGCCCTGTGGTATCGACGACGGTAGCAAAAGACCTCGTCAGACGACGCGCAGTCGACACTCTAGCTGCGAGCATGATGTGTTTTGTGAAGAGACAATATTTTACAGGACAGTGGTTCGGAGTTGGTCTAATTTGCCTTTCCGGATTCGTCCGGATTTGGCCGGGTACAACACTTACTTTACCTAATTATAAAAGAGCTAACAATATCGTCCTTCCAGATTGCTAGTACCTACACACTACAAAAAGCAGAATATTATGTCTGGTCTAAGGAGTGTATATGCTATGCCGAATCTGGGAAGTTGAAACATAGTAAAAAGTAACATACGTAGCTTGGTGATGTGGCGGGTCTCGCAGGTTACATCCTAATCGCGTAGACTGTATGATATACACTCACAAGGTTTCTTGTGGTCTTCAGTTCATGGATATAGCCACTGATCAGCTCAGCTACTTCATCCTCAGGTAGTCCAGATTCCAATAGAATTGGCTTCACCGAGTCTGCGTATCGGACATGGGCCGCCCTGAATGCCCTGCCAAGCCTCCGAAAGGCCTCGTCGGCATGCCAGGGGCCAATTGGCATGTAAAACCTTTGCGTGGTGATGGAAGTAAAGAAGCCGGAACGGAATATCATGTCTGGGACACGAGCGGCAACGGGCTCTATCCCGCGGCAGGTGCGCAGCGCGTTCTTGAGAGCTTCGAAGAAGCGGCAAGCCCTCGGCGCGTGCCCCGTGGCACTTAGGTTGAGACTGGGATAGAATGACGGGTAGCGACCCCATTCACAGGATATGAAAAGACCACCTGGTCGTAGGATGCGGCCGATCTCTTGTAACATAGCAGGATAGTCACGAATCTGTAAAATTACGGAGATCATGGGCGAATCGTCCGTAAGCAAGGGAAAATTAGATAGCATTACTTACAGCCATTGATACACTGCGTGCATGAACCAATTCAACCGTTTTATCGCCCCAGCGGGATGGCGTATTAGCGTCATGAACCTCGAATCTGACATTGGGGAGAGGGTATCTAGTGGCGATGGGGACTGGATGACACGATGAGATATAGATAATGAGATCAGACTAGAATAGGATAATATCCCACCGATGTCGAGCCCCCGAAAATGAACATGGGGAAATTCTCTCCCCATGTCCATCACCCTAAATCAAAGTAGGTCAGTTTCCGACCACATACACACTGGCATACGTGTGGGGGGCACTAACCATCTTCCAGTGCCAGTGCACAGGTCAAGAGCAATCTTCTGACGACCTACTTCAGGCGCCAAAATGTCGGAAACAGGCCCCACGTAATTTGCGCCAATCAGCCGGTTGACAACAATATGTTGAACATTGAGTCTCTATAGGTAATCTTAATAAGAGTTGCACGCAAATGCACGCGGGTAGCGGAGGGGACCTGCCCGTTGTTCTGGCGTGTCCACCGGTAGTGGATACGGGGAGCAACCATGGGAATGGAAGAGGCGACCATCGCGCTCAGCAAAGTATGTCGGAAAATCTTCAGGACGAAGTTCCGTTAACAATGGAGAAGCGTCTGGTAGCTCAGGAGGGCCGTCGTGAATCATCGTAAAATTGTCTTCATCGTCGCTGTTGGACTCGTGGTCCTGGGGAGTGTCGAGCATAGTCGATATTAGAGGTGAGGTTGGTTCTATGTTGGACAGGGTAGTTCTGGATGGAATGTGGATTTCAGGGAATTTAAGAGTTAGTCTTCCGCAGACAGTCAGGGTTTTATTTCTTGATCTGAGTTAACCGCGGGAACGTGTATCATCAATCGATGCGCAGCAACTAGTCTCAAATGGTGGGGACGCAGGCCACGCTAGGATCACTGTCACTGAGTGATTGGACGGTTCGACTTATTCAAGGCATGTCATCAGCCAACAGAACCGTCAACCTCGGGAAGTAGCCCGAGCACCATGTTAATTGCCCCTCGCGGGAACTTAAAGTAGAGCGCCCAGCTGATTATAGTGGCTCCATCTGTCAATTGCCGTGCGAAATGATACTCCAAGTCATCAGTCTCCGATGTGTGTCAGTCGAGATCCTGAGTGTGGCCGGTTTACTGCAGCCGGGTTTGTCCCGTGTCAATTCCAGGTACTGGACCTGAGGTTACCATCACGTTTCATTTTCGCCGACCATGAGTTGAAGGAAGATATTGAAAAGGCTTGTGCAATGTGTAGGTACTGGAGGGGTGGCGATGTTGGCTCGTCACGGACCGACAGCCGCGTTCTTACCCTCTGCGCACGTGATCGCAAGGCGCGAACTGAAGTAGTAGTGTTATCAATTAAATGCTTGCGTAGAATAAAAAATAAAAATACTGGGGATGCGGAACCAAGGCGGAACTGTTCGGCCTGTAACTTGACTCAATGTGTCCAATGTCCGCCCTTGTCATACTGATTCAGGTGTGCATGTGATGCGTGATGCGTGACGGCGCGCGACACGGCGCACATTACGTAACACGTGGAGTAGTACAAAAAGCGGCCACATAGAGTTTATACCGCGACTAGGTTCTGATCAGATCTTAGAACCAACGGCCAGAATTAACTTTCCAAAGAACGACGGTTCGGGCTTTTAGTTCGATATTCCCATCCCACATTCAGGCTCAAGTTAACGACGCGAAACACCATTTGGCATTCACCCTCTGAAACATTTCAAGACCCTCCATATTAATCGATATATTGACCCCGCAAGCTTCGAATGGCGGACATCGACCCAGATGACTTCTTTTCCGAGCTCGACAAACGCATGTCTACTTCTGATGATGACTTCGACTCATATGTTGCCAAGAGACTCGTGGATTGGGCAAGGTAGCGCTCAAAATCCATTGTGTATGAAAATACTCATTGCGACAAGTCGTGAAACAATTTCATTCGATACTCTTGCGCGGGCAACGCATGGCGTAAACCAAAATATGAAAGAGCCCGGAAAGTTGGACACGGTCCAGGCTGGTCCCTGTGTGTCTGATGTGCAGATGTCATCGGTACAACAACCCGAAGTTCCAACCTTACGGTGATTATTCATAGCGTGCCCGGGCCCCGTTCTGACGGTAAATCTAATCTTAGAACCAAACGCAAGCAATCGATTTCTCCAACACCGCCGTTCGAGCGTAGCAGAAACGAAGATCCCGGTATCATACAATATCAAGAACACGCGGAGTATGGTCCCAAGTCGCACTTACAAGTGTATTTTGTTGAAGCACTATCATAGGCATCGTTCGACCTCACCCGAGCATCAGCATTCTGAGTCTCAGGTGCCTAGTGTTTCTCTCGAGATAGGACATCGTCAAATCAAATCAACTGTCGGCGGTGCCGTGGAGGTATTAGAAGCATCTGCCAACCATACTGCATCTTTAGTGGGCTTGACACCGGGTGCTCCTGCGCCTAATGTGGGGGTCCTGAGAATTGTTACGGGACCGCAGATGCCCCTG